CTGACGTTTCAGCCTCCTGTACTCCTCAAATGGCAATCCTTTCAGATCCTCATCCGATTCCGATCCAGCAGATCGCATGTGTCTGTAATCTCCATTGAGATACGGTTTCCTCCGATATGCTCGCGGCTGTTCGAATTGGTAGGGTTTGTTGACAGGGCTTTGTCGATGGCTCGAACGGTGAGGGGAATACGATCTCCGGTCACGACGATAATTATGGGATGACGAAGGTTCATACCTCGAGTAGTCCGGGCTACGGCTGCGACTCCGGCTACGGCTGATACTAGGAGTCCTGCTTCGGCTACGATAGCGACGTCGATGAGTGTCCGGTTCGGGAGTGTAGCGGCGTCGGTCGCTGTCTCTGACGCTACGCCGCCGGTCATCGGGGACGGCAATCCCAGATGTAAGTCGTCCCATAACTAGAGATTCAACGACAAAGGTGAGAGGAGAAGATTATAGCGCTATGGCATTCAGAAAAGGATCGAATTGAACGTGGACTTGAGGGGTGACGGCCCATTTAACTAACTGGCTAATATAAAGCCCATAAAATAAAATATTATTGTTAGTACTTGTTTTGTAGAACTTTTAACATAGTATTTTAAATATCTAAGTTTTATTTTGTATTTGTAGACTATTCTTTAAATAAAATGGATTAAAAAAATTTAAAAAATTACTTTGTTTAGCATGATGTTATTTACATTTTGGGACGGATGAAGTATATTAAAAGGCCACTTTTACTTATTTATTAGATCACATATGTTCATTATTAATCTGCTCATCAAATTCTACTTTTACATATCACATCAAAAAAAAATTTTAAAAAATCAATACAAAAGACTGTTCTCAAAATCTTCAATATTTTCAGGGACGGACGGAGTAATAGTAAGGGAAAATGTTGAATTGTCACACCACACCTATACTATCGAATTTTGATAAATTAGGATCCGGCCCAATCAAAAACAGAATCTGCTAAATTGTCTCAGACATGTTAAGGCCAATTCGGCTAAATTAGGGCCCGGCCCAAAAATGAAAAGTAAACCCTAGCTTTAAAACTACCCTGCTTAAGTAGAGACTGAAATCGTCTCTTCGCGGCGGAGAAAGATCAGGACGGAGGCGAAGTGCTCAGTACCCGGAAGAAAAGCCGCCGGAGTAGACAGCGCAGGGCAACCGCGTTCAAGCTCGGAGCAGAAAAATGGCGGAAAAGGCAGTGACCATCCGGACACGTAAATTCATGACGAATCGCCTTCTCTCAAGGAAACAATTCGTAAGAACTCCCACTCCCATGCGCTGTTAGAAAGCTTAATTTGTTGTTTTCGCTTACGTTTTGTGCTTCCGAATTGATGCAGGTCATCGATGTTCTACACCCTGGAAGGGCCAATGTTTCAAAGGTTAGATTTTTGTTTTTTTTTTGGCTAATTTTAGTATCAGAAATGTTTGGTTCAGATTCAATCCTTTTAAATCAGGGTTTACACTTAAATAACTTATGTTTCTGACGTTGTGGTGGTTTGAATTTGAAGGCGGAGCTGAAAGAAAAGCTGGCAAGGATGTATGAAGTGAAAGATTCCAATGCCATATTTGTTTTTAAGTTCAGGACTCACTTTGGAGGAGGTAAATCAACTGGGTTTGGTCTGATCTATGACTCTGTTGAGAATGCAAAGAAATACGAGCCCAAGTATAGGCTCATCAGAGTAAGTCCTTAACCATGGTTTGATCTATTCAATGTTGATCCATTCCACCATCTGTGCTTCCGTGTCTATGTTTTTGCTTTAATCATGTTCTGCAATGCTAGTGTTTCAAAAGAATTGTGTGAGATATGAGTTTTTTTATAAACTAGCCCTTAGTAGCAGCTGCACCAAAAGTTCTAAGTGCATCTCCAATGTGTGTGAGAACACATGGTTTTTAATAAGCAGGTTTTTTAGATCTATTAATTGTCTCCATTGGTACAAAACTAACATTTTTTCACATAAAGCACATTTACAAACACTTCTTTGGATGTATGGAAGACTGGATTTTCTTTCCATATTTTCTTGTGGAATACACAGTATTTATTTATGGACAATCATTTTCTCGATTTTTTATTCCTCTTCTTCAATAGTTTGTAATTTATCAATTCATACAATTTATACTTGATGTTTTTACTCTAATTGGATGACTGTTTCTCTATGCTAAACATATTATATATTTACTCCCTGGTCATATTCATCTTTGTGTAGCTAACATACTTTGAGACGACTTTCTAAGGTAGCTATGTCATGAAATTTTTATAGATATTCACTGACCCCACCACCCCCCACCCACCCAAAAAATATCGCTGTAAAGGCTTCAATATTGGCTCTATGAGAATTTTAGTACTCAGGTTACAATTTTTTGATGTTGTTTTCCATTTAAGATTGAGTATAATACTGCTGAAAACTGTTTTTTGGATGTTGTTTTCAATTTTAGTGTCTAATATTGATGAAAGCTGTTTGGGGCTTGGCTTTACTGAATCATTTTTAATAATATATGATGTCTGTGTGTGTGCGTGGATGCATGATGTCTTCAAGAAACACTACCATTATGTTGTTTATTTTCATCAATCTAAATTCACTCTTGCAGAATGGGTTGGCCACTAAAGTTGAGAAGTCCCGAAAGCAAATGAAGGAGCGAAAGAACAGAGCCAAGAAAGTCCGTGGAGTGAAGAAGGTAATGACACAAACATTTGTTTCATAGAAATATCAAGCATCTCTTATTGAACTAATGATCATCTTATGCATGGAATCGGTGTTGATCTGATTTTTACATGTATTGCAGACCAAGGCTGGAGATGCTGCGAAAAAGAAGTAATGATTCTGTTGCAATCAAGCTGAATTTGGAAAAGAAATTGCATGCCCAGACTTTCTCTCATTATGTTTTCTTCCTTTCCATTGGGTTTCCCCCAATCTATCTTCCATTTTTGATGAATCTTAGGAGTGTAACAGGGTTATGCTTCAACTTTTCTTTCACAATAGCCATCTGTTATCTTTTCTACTTTCTCTGCTTATTGAGCTATTATGTTTATGGATGATCCAATTTGGGATGTTTGTAGTTTGTACTGTGAAAGCAGTATACTCTTGATATATGGCCTGCTGTGGTATTCTGAACATAGGCTCTTAACTCTTTTCATTCCAAGTTTTGAAAATGTGTGTTTTACATATAGACAGACGAGCATAGACAATTATTATTCGTGGATCCTAAATAATTTTCATTGTCAGCTTGCAAAATACATGATGCCTGATTTGTTCTAAATTAGATTTGTCTTGGGATGAATCATTGTTAGACACATTGGTCTAAGTTAGATCAATAAAAAATGACTTGATTTGTTTTTTACTCAAAACTTGATTTGAATTATAATTATAATAGTGAAAAAGTTGAAAGTAATGATAAAAAAACCTAACCTTTCTCGGATATGCATATTCGGGTAGTCTAACCATGAAGTATTGAGATAAGCCATTGAGACTTTTTTCGAGATTATGAAATTGGGTTTGAGAACCTACTTCTGTGCTTGCCGTTCCATTGGGTTGCGTTAGACCTTCCTCTACGAGATTGGGAATGAGACTGGCCGGATTGCGAAAAGGTTGGGATGTGTTGTTTGTGCGGCCAAGACTAAATGGAAATAAAATTTATTTAATTGCCCCTGTTTAGAACTTGTTTAAAAATATAAGTTTATACACGAAAAACGAGTAATAAGAAAAAAAATAAAATAAAAAACTTTATTTTTAATATACTAATTTTCATATTAAAGTAAATGATTTTAAAAAAAAAAAAACTATTACGTCAGCACATCGGGTTCTGGTTCAGTCTGGTTTGACCTATTTTTATCAAGTCATTTCGGGATCGGTCAATTTTGAGTTGGATCCACAAAATCTTTGTTCAAGACTATGTATTTTTTAGTACGCTATCACTTAAAGAACATGTCCGGTCATTTTTTACCAGATCTAACACTTACGGAGTAGTATTTTTCATCCGGTTGAAAAAACTATACTTGAGTATTACGATGACCAGCAAACTCAATCCACTTCATATTCAATAGTGTATTAATGTATATGAGTAATTCACATTCTATAAGACAGAGCACCCCATGAAAGATGGGTCGAGTTATGATCTAAGGGCATAATATCTTCCATGTAATTTTATTGGACTAATGTCTATGAATAATATTTAAACATATTCTAGTACTAAATATACTCACAACATAAAAAAGAATTATGTTCAAATTACGATCTTGGCTGAAAGTATTTTTGAATCAATATGAATGATAATTGGTGTTGAACTAAAGAAATTATGTACTCTGCAATAAAACACTTGAACAACAGTTATATAACGTACAAAACAAGTAATGACAATTTAATTTTTATTTTATCAAATAATTGATAAAAAATGATTTCTTCCACTTATGCAACCTAAATGGGAATGTAGAGTTGTAATTTTTTGAAAAGTTAATTTTTTTTATAAAAAAATAATCTTAAAAAATTGAAGAAAATTTTTATAATTGAAAAAAATTGATCGAAAAATACTAGTAATTATAAAAAAAATGCATGTATTTTGATACTTACAAAGATGATTTATCGGAGTTAAGGAAGGAATCCTTAACGGGACAATAGGACCACAAGTCAACCGGAGGTTGCTCTTTCCCGACATTATTTGATTTTGTGGCAAATTAAAAAATATTTCGAGGGGCACGCGGTGGAGGGAAAATGCAATCTTTTAATTCTGCTCAAAATCTCATCTCCAGTCCGAAATTACGATCATGCCCTCGCGTCATCAACGAAACAAGCCTTCTCCCAGGCCCCATACGGGGATTTCACAGTTTCCAGCCATTCTCTTTCTTCCTCGATCTCTGCTCCCCCACCACCACCTTCTATCTCTCTCTCTCTCTTAAACCCTTGCTCAGATAGGTTTCTCTCTCTAGACTCCCTCCCCAGAAATATTGAACTCCGATCGTTTAATCTACCAGTCCCGTGCCGTATATACTTACAGCTCCGTGTATCTATCTGCCGCTGCTCGGATATCGGAGTTCCCTTTAAATCTGTAAGGCTCTTCAGTTTTTTTTTTTGTTTCTATTTTTGTTTTTGTTTAAAAAAAGTTCGTGTTTTTTTTATACTCGTGTGTTTGATTGCAGAGAATCGATGTGTAATTGGTTGCAGCTCTGTATTTTTTGGGATTTTTTTTCAGTTTCTTGATACACTTGTATAAATTTTGTTAAGTTGAAATTTCCCATTGTTTGAATTTGAGGCGTTAACTTAAAGAGATGGCAGATTGGCTAAAACCGATTGATTTCTGTAAAGGAGGGTGGGTAGATTTGGATTTGAATTCGGAGCCCATTTTGGAAACGGATGATGCTCCTATCACAGCTGACTCTGCTTCTGGGAAGAAATGTGATTTTCTTTCTTTGGGTAATAAGTTTGAAGAGAGGGACAGAGTGGTAAACGTTGAGTTAGATAAGGGTGTAGAGTTAGCTGCAGCTGTTAATGGGTGTGTTGAAGAGTCAAAGTCGGTCCAATGTGGCGTCGGTGCAGTCTTAGAAGGGAGTTTAGGTGAGAACGGGGAATTATCCGTGATCTCTAATGTGCCGGGCTTTATTAAGGAAGAACCAGTTTTGTTACAAGAATTTAATGTTGGGAATGGATGTCTTAAAGTGGAAAGTGAAAGAAGTGGGCAAGCTGTGGAGAATGATGGTGGGTCTGATAGGGATGTAGAGTTAACTGCTGCTGTGTGTGTTGAAGAGTCAAAGTTGGTCCAATGTGTTTTTGATGCAGCCAGGGAAGGTAACTTGGGAAGGAACAGTGGATTATCCAGATTATCGGGTTTGGTGGGCTCTATTAAGGAAGAACCAGTCACATTACAAGAATCTAATGTTGGCAAGGGATGTCTAAAATTGGAAAGTGATATTAGTGGGCAGGCTGTGGCTGTTGGGAGTGCTAATTCACTTGATGGTGGAACGAGTGACTTGATTGAGGATGAGAAGGTGATCCAGAAAGGAAAAAGAGGGCGAAAAAGGAAAAATGCTGAAAATGCAAAAGTTTGTGATGATGAAGTCAAAAGAAAGAAAAACAACCACAAACCTTTAGTGGGTCAAACTGGAAACTGTGGAAGGGTGTTGAGGTCCAAGGTGAATTGTACAAGTCAAGCAGAGACTCAGCGAACTGAAGCTAATCCAGGCTTTGTCGATGCGTCATTAGTAAAGGAGGATCAGAAGCATGATATTAATCTACCTCAAAAAGCATTCAAGACTAGGGGCAGGAAAAAAAAGAAAGATGGTCGTGGTCGGCCTTGCAAGATCCGCGATGATGACAATATTGCCACATCAAACAGGAAGGACGAGGCAAAGGTGAATAGACTCCGGGGTAGGCATGGAAAGATTGCTGATAAAAATGGTTCATTAGAAATGGTTAAAAATCAGAAAGATAAAGAAAAGGAGCCTGATGAAAAGTTCAGCGATAATAAACATCATGAAAATGTAATTTTGAGCTCTAAGAAGTCCTTGAAATCAAAAGGGCGGAATGCTGGTCGAAGGGAACAACAGCAAGTGGTTAGAGATCAGATAGTTGAGATGTTGATGAAGGCAGGATGGACTATAGAATATAGGCAGAGGCTTACAAAGGATTACAAAGATGCGGTTTATGTGGACTGTGATGGGAAAACACACTGGTCAGTCACTTTGGCTTATCAGAAACTCAAAGCTAAAGTTGACCATGGAAGGGCAGATGACAAGACCCTCTCGGCCTTTACTGCTATCCCTGAAGAGGTACTTGGAACACTGTACAGAACTAGAAATGAGAAGCCTAGAAAGGATAAGGGAAGCAAAAGTGGCAAGAACCCAAAATGCAAGGAAAATTTAAATCCTAACCCCAAAGTTAGGGACAAACATCTAAAGAGAACTGCTAAAAAGAATGCAGATAATCATGGTCGTACACCAAAGAAGGGATGCTCAAAGCCAAAGAGAGATGGGCGGGTTAGAAAGTCTATTGCTTTATTGGCACGTAGATCTGTAGAAATGTCTGCTGATCAAGATGGTGAAGAATCTGTCATTTATGATGGAAAGAGAAATCTTTGGTCTTGGATGATTGATTCAGGGAAAATCAAATTAGGTTCAAAAGTTCAGTGCATGAATGATGAGGGGACAAAAGTAATGCGCGAAGGAAAGGTCACTGGTGATGGCATTTGTTGTGGCTGCTGTGGTCAAGCATTCACGATTTTGGATTTTGAGTGCCACGCTGGAAGTACACTATGCCAGCCGCTACAACACATATGCCTAGAATCAGGTCGTTCTCTTCTACAATGCTTGACAGAGTGGTGGATGAGCAAACAGGAAGAATATGATCATAATAAATTTAATGTGGAGGATGCTGATGACCCAAATGATGATACTTGTAACATTTGCGGCGATGGTGGCGATTTGATCTGTTGTGACGGATGCCCGTCAACTTTCCATCAGAATTGCTTAAATATTGAAGTAAGGGTGCAGCTAATCTTTTTGTACTCGTCACAACTTTACTTTATTGGAGGTGTAGTTTTTGCGTATTTCTTGTAAAAGGGTAATAATTATTTAGTATATGGGCTGATATGGGCATACTCCATCTTTGATTACTCTTGTACCATGACATTAAGGCATGAATTTTGATTCTGAAGGCTCGATAAAAGAGTTTTTCATGGACCATTTTTGCTATCTTTTTACCATAAAAGTACATTAGAACAGACAACAAAATTGTCAAGGAAATTTATTTTCTTGTGTTCTTTTTTACTTTGGAAATTGCAAAAGCTTAATATGATGTTTTTTTTGAAGTTTTTAAAATGTGTTTAGATCTCTTGTTTAACAGACGTTGATCAATAAAACAATTAGCAGCAGAAATATATAAAATCATTTCATTGAGTTTAAACCTATCAACTCTTCCCACTATTTTCCAGGGTCCAACTTTTAGAGACATTGTTTAACTGTAAATGCATCAGAATGAAAAGTACGATGACATCATACCAAGCATAAATTATGGTCATTTTTATGGTCACGCTTATTTTCTGTTGTCAAGTCGCAAACTCTTGCATTTCAAATGAAACATCTGGTCAGTTTCTTAAAAGTGCTGTTTGTGGGGTACACATGCAGAAGCTGCCTACTGGAAATTGGCGATGTGTATATTGTTCATGCAAATTCTGTGGGACTGTTGCTGATAATGTTGATGACCATTTGACTGCCTCTGAATTGCCCTTGTGTCATTTGTGCGAGGAAAGATGTGAGCACCTTATTGTTGTTTTAAGTCTACTTCTCTTTTAGGATTGATATTTTTCAATCTAACATCATGGTTTTCGATTTGGCCTTTTGCAGTTCATTTTTCTTGTAACGAGCACAGGATTGCAGATAATTTGGATTCCATGGATTTGATTTTTTGTGGAAAGGGTTGTGAAGAGGTATAATATCTGTTGTTTATTCTGCTTCTCCTGATGAGCTCGTTGCCTTGAGATTACTTGTTAATTTAGTATATGGGGTTTTTGAGATCATAATGAGTGTCTTATTTGGAATGCCAACATTTATCTTCGCATCAAGTTGAATGCATTCTACAGTAATGAATAGTCCAATGCTATCTAACCATTTTATGATTTTAGCAATTTGCTCTAGATAATTTCTTTTGTTGTCTAAAACTGCCTTTTAAAGCTGTCAAAAATAACTACCTTTTAAATGTATCACCTCTTAACAAAGTGGAGGCGGTAGTCTAAAAGGAAATGTATGCACCATTATATGAGGTGGTATCTTAAAAATATTATGTGTGGTAAACTTAAAAGCTGTTTTTTTGACAAAAAGTTCTTTTTAATATATTCAGATTCTTTTTTATAAACTCCCTCCCCTTTTCTCAAAATATGCACTGCCTCTCTCTTATTTGTAGTTTAGCTTCATGGAGTTCAAGAAAAATGTTGATAAGTAAAGAGCATGTTTAAAGTTTGTTTAGAAAAGAGAAATGTTGTGAGACACATATTTAATCCTTAAAAGTTAATAGCAGATGTGAAAAGTCTATTTGGGAAAGACAAAGATGGAAAGTGTGATTCTCATTTGGGGTCAGAGGGAGTAATTGATTGTTTGATTTATTCTTTATACATGTCTAAGCATACCAATAGGGGTAGGGTAATATAAATAAAATGGCAAGCAATAAGTTTACATAATGGAATTGGTGGAAATCTGGTATGATGAACTGCTAGTATTTTCGTAAAAGTGCATTTTCAAGGCCAATTGTAATTTTTATGTGTGTCCTAATTCAATTTTTTACACTTCTGGCCGATAGCTTTATGAGGGCCTGCAGACACTTGTTGGGGTCAAACATGACATCCCTGAAGGGTTTTCTTGGACTGTTCTTCAAAGACGTTATGTTGGGAAGGAGGACGATACGGGAAGAAATAATAGTTCATCAAAAATAGAGTGCAACTCAAGATTAGCTGTCGCGTTTTCGGTTATGGATGAGTGTTTTATGCCCATTGTTGATCAGCGAAGCAACATCAATATGATTCACAATGTTGTCTATAACTGTGGGTAAGTAGACTTTAGAGCAATATGTATAGCTGTAGGAGAGCCTCTATTTTCTTATATCTCAGATTGCTAATGTGAGTTCATCATTCTCAGATCAAATTTCAAACGGCTCAATTATTGTGGCTTCTTTACTATAATTCTCGAGAAGGGTGATGAACTTGTTGCTGCTGCATCCATAAGGTTGACTTTAAGCTGATCCTCAATGTTTTTCTTCTTCTTCATATTGATTAGTACAAGGTTCTTCTTGTTTTACCTAGACGCCCTCGGTGCCTCTAAAAAAACATTTGTTGTTGTATGTAGGCTACATGGGAGTGTGTTGGCTGAGATGCCCTTTATTGGCACAAGGCAGAAATTTCGCCGCCAAGGGATGTGCCGTCGGCTCCTATGTGCAGTTGAAACGGTAAATTTTCCAACAATGCCCTATTTTGTAATTTCCCCATTTGAGTATTTTCTTTGTTTATTTATAAACAGTTCTCTTGGTCAGGCACTTAGTTCGCTGGGGGTCGAGCAACTGGTTATACCTGCCATATCTGAGCTTAATGAAACCTGGACGAAGGTTTTTGGTTTCTCGCCCCTTGAAGATTCAAAGAGACGAGAAATGACGCGCATGAGCTTGATTGTTTTCCCTGGCACTGACATGCTGCAAAAACCTCTGCCAAAGAAGTGCCAAGGAATAGAAGAAGATCATATTATGTCTCCGGGTATGTTTTCTCTTCAGTATAACCATCATGCTTTGTCTGTCCCATGATGTTTTGTTTGGTTAACAAGAGAGAAATAGAGGAGAAAGAAAAAGAAAGGAAAGAGCGTGCATATAAAGACAAAAGGTGAACAAGTGAGTGGAAGAATTATGTGCTGTTTTTAAAATCCAAAAGTACCCCTCCATCTGGAATATATCTAAAAGGTTGAAATGCAAAAAAATTGTTCTTTTTTTAATTGTAGGAAAAAATAGAATAAAGAGTGGGGTTTCTTGGTCTTTCTTTGGTGCACCTAATAAAGGAATAAAGAATAAAGATGTGAGAAAACTGAAAAGTGGTAAGAAAGAGAGAAAAGCACTTTGTTTTGAAAACAAGAGACCCTTAGTCCAGTCCAAAATGAAGTTTATAATTTCACTTTATGGCTTTAATAAACGTGTTACATAAATGGTAAAGGATGGTTAGAATTTGTTTAGAAAAGAGAGAAACGTTGGGTGCCATTGCCATGTGAAAAGGAGGTGGGAACTTCATTTTGGAACGGAGGAGGGTTACGTTGATCAAATGACAAGGGTATCCCGTCCAAATAAATAAAATCAAGTAAAAAAGGTAAAAAAAACATTAGGATAATCAGATAAAAAAAAGTCTTTTCTTGGCCAGAAATCTTTGTCACCGCGGCTCTTGCGTGTTCTCCTTTTGAGTTTTGACTATTTCTTTGCCCTAACCAAACACCCAATATTTTATTTACTTTTTCCCCATTTTTTCTTTCCCTCATGGAAGAAACAGTCTCTTTACTTCCAAGTGGAGACCATATTGTCTAATGAGATGGTTTTCATGAAGCCATTGCAGAGGAATCATCACCACCCCAGCTCAATGCCAGCAAGAACTCCGCCACCGCGGAGGAGGCAGAAGAACCCCATGCCACATCACCCCTCGGCAGCAGCGGAGGCTTCTTGCACGACATGAAAACTGGTTTTGAATCTTTCATACTGCAGGAAGCCCTCCAAGTCCAGTAGGGCTCCAAGTCCAGTACGACATGAAAACTGGTTTTGAAAACTGGTTTTGAATCTTTCATAGTCCGCAGGAAGCAACATTTAATATGCATTCTTCAAGTCTTCAATCTCTGCTGCTCCTTTTACCACTTTCTTGGGGGTTTTTTTTTTTGCAGAAAAGATGTGTATATGTCACTCACTGCCTTATGGGTTATATATGAATCTCACTCTGAGGGTTTCATCATTTCAAGTCCCGGGGCCTTTTTTTGCTTGTTTAATTGTTTTTTTATAATTATTATTTGATCGATTTTTAATGATATTTTAATCTGTCTTATAGAGCTTGATGAATGATCTTTTAGAGTTTTAGGGCAGCTATCCGGATTCGACCTTAGATTTTCTTCTTATAACATTCTATACCATTTCCTTGAAAAAAATTATCCTAAATAAGACTAAAACATAGAGAAAGTATCAAAATAAGAGTTTAAACTCTGATAATGTGGCATTATACATGTGCATTTTATTATATTTTTTTTAGTAATGTACATGATCATTATTGGTAATGTAAATGTATATTAACTCTTATCTTGGAAATAAAAATATAGAATTCTTATTTGGTATATTTTCAATGTTTTATTTCTATTTTTTATTTTTCCTTCCTTGAACTAAGAGAAAAAATAAGAAAAATGTTAAAAGAGTAAAAGTGTGGTGTTTTAAATTGCTTTGAAGTGAGACATTGTATTTTTCTTCTTTTACCCAAGAAGGAAATGAAAGAAATTCCAAATTTATTTTGTACTCCGTAAAAGATTTGAAAGGAAAATGTAAACATTTTTTTTCAAGGACTTTGGCAAAAAAAAATAAAATAAATCCTAAAGTATAATTGCTTACATTTCCCACCCTTTTTCTTTTCCCTTGCTCCATGCTGGTAACATATCGTGAATTGAACTGTGAACATGTACGAAAAAAATTGTCTCTAACAATATTTTCTTTTTTTATGTGGATGTGAGAATGTGAAGACAAAAATCCAATAAAGGTATCAAACATACAGGGTCATCATTAGAATGTGGAGAATGTAATTTTTCATATAAGTAATTAATACTCCCTCTGTTCCATTTTAAATTGTCTATTTGTCTTTTTTCTCCGTCTCAAAAATAAGTTGCCTGTTACTTGTTATAATAAATTTTTAAGAGTAAAATACCTAAACTACCCTTTAAATAAGTCATCTTTCTCTACCTTATCTTCTCATTCATCGTCATCCCTCCTAAAAAGTAATGACAATTTTGGAAAATCAACTCTATTTTTTCTTTTTTTAAATATGTCCAAAAGTTAAAACAGGCGATTTAAAACGGGACGAAGAGAGTAAATTAAATAAAGTTTAGCAAAAAATCCAAAAGTTGTGAATAAATTAGATTAAAACATACTCCGTAACAAAGAGAACAAAATATGATTTTCATGTTTTTTTAAAATTAAAACCTACTCCGTATATTTTAGCTAAAAGAAAATTTGATTAGATATTGAGGGAGAGATGATATTCTTACTCAGAGTGACGTCTTGCACATAAGGAGCAAGTGCGTTTAATGTTAGTCTCATGTACACTCAACTACCCGTTTAAGCGTCATTTCGTATACATTATATACTTTCTAGTTTCTTCTTGAAAAATTTCCAACTTCTTCCGGTGTCTTTCAATTTATCTCATTTATTTTAATTTATCCTAATTTTTTCCACTTTTTTCAAATTTTTATAACTTGTTAAATATTTTCCAACTTATTATTTTTTTTCAATTTTCTTCAATTTGTGTAACATCCAACTCTATTTTTTTTAGACAAAGAACAAAGCCATGATTTTTGAATGAAGGTCAAACTAGTATTCTTTCTATCACAAACTAATTATCTCACTATAACAATAACAACATTATCCAGTGCCTCAACGGCTCCCGTCCATTGCGGGATAAATGGGGATTTGATGTACGTAGTTTGACCATGTACTTAAAACATAGAGCAGTTATTTCCCAGATGACCCATGGTGAGCGCCGAAAGTCGAAAACTGAATTGACTAACTGTTTTCAAATTAAAAACAAATTCAATCCAACTTCAGTACATCTAATAAGAGAATTTTTTAAACATTAATAACTCTATTAACGTGTAGTCGTCAATAATACGGAGTAAAAGAATTACCCATAGTAAATTGGAAACAATTGATAATTTATTGATTTTTACTTTGCTTTTTTGACAGGGGGATTGGGTGGCACATCGGTAGTTACATTCCCAACATGGGGGCAAAACGGGGACGACAGGGCCTCAACGCACGCACAGTGACGTGAGCTGTAATGTGGATTTATATACGGTTTTAAATACGGCGAAGAATCATTTTCAGATCCGAGAGGGTTTTCTGGTTTCCCATGGTTCTCCGACGCTTTGATTCCAGAAATTGGCACTTTGAAATTCACACCCCGGATTGAGATATATTGAAACTCGTCAGTGTTGAAGAATCCGAGCCTCTGTCCAATTTCATCCGCACTCTGTATCGCTTGGCTCATCAGGTAGATTTTCACTCTTTAGTTTCTGGAAATGTGTTCGATCGGTTATGTTTCGCCTCCGCGACGGATGATGTTTCAGTGAAATTTTGCCTTTTTTGTGTTTTTTTCTACTCGATTACATGAATTCAGTGTGTTTGATTCGTTTATCCCCTTGTTTATGCGTAGATCTGAAGGGACTGAGGAGTGAGAGTGGTGCCGGTAGACGTTCTTCACGGCTGTATATGATCGAAGAGGGTTTTCCTGTTCTAATCAGAATATGGTGGTTGTGGAGAAGATCTAAACCTCAAATTCCCGATCTTGTGTTGATCTGACACTCACAGTTGTTTCTAGTTCTGTTTTCACCAGTTATTTGATTGATCGTGAAGTTTGGATAATTGATTTGGCCAGATCTTGGGATTCCGGATAGAATCATAGTTGATTCAGTGGTTTGATCAAGATGGAGACACTCGTTTTGGTTTCTGAGCACAGGAACGAGTACTATAATAACAGGTCCGCTGGAGCTGGCGGCCTTGGCTTTGGTCCGTTTGGCTCACCCCCTTCGGAAAGTTTCAGGGAGATAAATTGTAGGTCATTCCATGCCGGATCAGGTATACTCCCGACACCGCTGCAGTCTTACCCCACTCCGGTTGCAAAAAGAATTGGATCAACTTCTTCTACCCCTTCATTCAAGACACCGTGTCCATCTGTAAAGTCTTCTCATAACCAGAAAAATAGGATAAGGTCTGTTAGAAGTGTTTCAATACCAATTGAAAAAGTGAGCCGGCACTCTAGGATTTCCCATTCGTTGCAGGATGACATCCAGTTCTCAGAGAGATGGGCTGGTCCTACATACTCAAACTCACCTCCTCCCAGTTCTTTACCAATCCCTAAATTTTCCATGAAGCCTAAAAGATCTGTTTCCCTTGACTTACAAGCATCAGTTTCTTCCATTCATTTTCGTCCTGTTGCTCTGTCTGCACCTGCATCACCCACCAGGGAGTGGAGCCCATCTCCCGAAGATTTGTTTGATCAAGATGACTCTCACTTTGCGACGAAAACACTTCGTCGTATTCTCAATCTCGACATTACAGATGATTAGGACTCGTTGGGTGACTAGATCTCCTTATCAGAAGGAGACTACATCTAGTTTCCTAAGGGGTTAGCAATATATTGTGTGTTTGTGGTGAATAAAACCAGTTCCTACTGTGACTGCTTCTAGTTCGTTGTTTGGGCATAATAAATGGATGTGTAGAGCAAGGGCATACCACTTTTTGTTCCGGTACAAGTATTGCAAGGGCTTGAGTGGGTGGTTGATCAACTATTTTCATTGTTTTCTGTGCTAGTTACTCTGGATGGCTTCAATTTGGTTGGGTATCTGAGGAAGTGAATAGAAAAAAAAAGAATTTGAAGGTTACTGGTGGTACTTTGCTACTTCACTGCTTCAAGGTTGTGTGATGCAGCTTAAATGAGATTTCTGCTATCTGCAGAATGCCAAATCCATAACCACACTCATCTTTACAATGTCTTCTCTAATTGCCTTCTCTTTTAATCAGTCTTTCTTGTGTCTATAGTGTATATATACCCAAAATCCTGATCTCTAAATAGGTTTACTGCTTCTTTAGGATCGTCTTGTTAACCATATCTTTAGGTCTGCGTTCTTGATTGTCTTCTTTTACGCTAGTCTCGGTTAAATTTAATCTCTGTGGCTCATATGCTCCAACTGTATAGGATCTTTAGAGAACTGTTTGACTGCAACTTCTCATCCTTCATCATCTCTGTCTGTACTAGCTATTGGTCTTTTGCTTATATAAAGTACTACTAGTTGAAGCTGCTTGCTCCTTCACCATGTTTCTGATTTTTTGAAAAGAAAATGGGAAGGGGAAGTTGGCTTCATCCACTCCTCATCTTTCCTGATCAAGTTCTTCATCCATCCAATGTCTAGCCTTTTCTTTTGTTATTCGTAATCTGTTAAGCCTTCCCAGTTCCTTTCCATCCCAATGTTTGGGAGCCATGTGATTGGAAGATAGTTGATTTGCCAAGATGTGTTCTCAAGGTGAGTGTACATGAATCATTCCTCTTCTCTTCTCTTTCAATGTTCATATATAATCATATCAATATATTGGCTGCTCTGTCCACTGATATGTGACCTGTCTCCTTTTCATGTCACAGCTCTTGTAAGGCGAACAAGTACAAACGTGTTTGTTCTCGTGACCTTGTTTCAGAAACTGGCTGTGCTCTTGTTCCCGGAGGTGGTGTTCTTCTATTCCATTTCAAGTTAGTCTGATTTTGTGGTTTCATTTGCCTGTGTAATGTTCAGTGTCATGTTGCTGTCTTGTGTTTGAACTCTATGTTGTTGTGCCCATGTTGCTTTTTTATTTTTTGTTGAGACTGAAGAAGTAAACAAATGGTTGATGTTGTCTTTCATGGTAGCCCTATTTTACATGTGAACATGTTTAACCCCCCCCCCCACACACACACACACACATTTAGTTAAATTAAGCACAGTAAATGGTTAGTGGTAGCCGTATCTCTTAACAATGATTGAGATTAGGATGAGATTTATATTAATATGGTCTTCTTGTAAATGATTGAGATTTTTGTGGACTAGTTCTGACAGCGCGTAGAATGTGAGATTTTTGGGGTCTTCTCCGTACATTAGTTTGATTTATACTCCATACTACGGAGTATTTGTTAATATGTTATTTAATCATTTTTAAATTTATATTATTTTATTAATTAATATAACTTTGCATTATATTTTTTTCGTCTCAATTTAAGTTGTTTAAGTTGCATGTTAACTATTTATAAAATCAAATTTTAACGATTTTTTAACTCATATTTGTTTCTAAAATGATTAAATAGTATGGCTATATTACCTCGCTTTGTAGATTATTTATACAATTTTTAACTATGTAAATTTATTTTGAAAGTAATTTCATTCATCATTGTAAACAACATGCAACTTAAAATGGGATGGATAGAGACATAGAGTATTTATTTAATTTCTATTACGGAGTATTTGTTAAAGTGAAATACTTCATCTATCGTGTAATACTTTGCTCTTCTAAAATTAATCTTTTCAGTTATTATTACGATTTATTAGTAACTTGAGTATGTATGTATTTGATTGTTTTTTTTTATATCGAATAAGATATCCTTGTTATTTCTAACTTTGTAATTTTTTTTTAATGTAATTCATATTTTATATTTCAATACCAATTAGTATGGATTGAAATTTTTGATACATGGAGAATTTGTGGTGTTTCCACTAATAACCAATTGATGAGTAATAATCAAACCATAGAAGACCACAACATTAGCTACCTCGTCGGCCATACATACATATCTGCGTGGATGAAAATCCCATGAATCAAATGCTACAAATCAATGTGTGTATGTGTGTATATGTATATATATACACACCCCATATATAAACAGTACTGGGTAATAATCATCATCATATAAAGTGACCCTTTGTGCATTACAATACAATACACATAATGGCGGCAGCGCAGAAGGTTGTTGCGGTGTTCTTGGGGTGTTTGTTTGTCCTCTCCGCCATGCAGGGCGGCGTTCAAGTGGCGGAGGCTGCCGGCTCTCCGGTGTACCGAGAATGCTTTGACACATGCCTCAACGATTGCATGAAAGGCGGGCGTGGTTACACCGATTGCGAGATGAAGTGTGACACCGAGTGCGGCGCCAAGGAATTCAATGGTTTGTAATTCATCCAAAAATTTCACATTTAACAATTAAATACTCCCTCCGTCCCAAAAAGAATGGGACGGTTTGACTTTTTGGGAAATTAAAGGAGTGATATTTTGGTATTGACTTTCCAAAAATGCCCTTGATGTGATGGGTAAAAGTAGGATGTGATGGGTAGATTATTAGGAAAAAGGTATGATGTGATAGATAAGGTATGAAAAAGTAAGGGGTAAAAGTGGTTTTTTAATAGAAATGTAACGGACTTTACGGGACACAGTTTTTTCTAAACGTAACAAACTTTTTGGGACGGAGGGAGTATGAATCAAGTTTGTCTTTTTATTACTCCCTCCGTCTGGAAATATTCTTCACGTGTTGACTTAGCACGCTTATTAAGGAATAGTAAAAAAATGCAAAATTTTCAAAAATACACATACTATAAACTTTTAATTCTCCTTTTCTTATTAAAAAAGTACTAAAAAGTAGATTAGTGATAAAATAGAAGGGTATTTTTGATATTTATTCTTAAAAAGTATACTAAAAAAGGAAATGGGAAGAATATTTCCGGACGAACCAAAAAAGAAAATGGGAAGAATATTCCCAGACGAAGGGAGTATATGCATTATTAAAATCCTTCTATAATTATATCGGAGGATTCCCGTGATATTAGATTTTCATAAAACTTATGTCTCAATCTCAATTGAGACTCTTACGATGTCTTATTCGTACAATTGGCGAATCTTACTTCCCCTCGCCTCCCATTAAACCCCCTTAGTGTTCAAAAAAATGATATGCCATTTTATTTTGTGCGTGCAGCCAAATTGAAAGCGGAGCCGGGCAATTAATTGACAAGGTGAAAAGAATGACGGAGTAACGGACAATGGAGTATTTTATTTTCAATGTAGTACGTAATAGTGACTATGGCACAATTTATTTTACCCCAATGTAATTGTCAGTGCTAATTAATTATCGATCCCATATACAGCTACAAACTGTAATTTAATTTCAATTCATTGCTTATATTATACAACTGTAGCTTATATTTGTTGGATACATACGGAGTATATTTTAAGAAAAATATGGCTCAAATATTTAACATCATCTTTATAGGGACTCCGTAACGTATTAATTACTTTAATCAAATGTTTGTTGTAGAGTTTAGAGTTAGATTAAAATAATGTTAAAAAGTGAATATAATTAATTACTCATATCATTTTGAACAACAATGGATATGCATGATTATCATTTAACGTGTGAATTGAAGGAATGGGACAACAATGACTATATATCGCGTGATCGTATTCTAAATATATCTTTGTCACCTTATTTGATGTTTATGAAAATAATGAATATGTTTAAACATTTTAAGCTAGATTCTACCCCCTCTTTTCTTTATTTTTGTGTCCCACAATGTTCTTCCATTTTCTATTAAAAACCCATTTTTTCCTATTACTAATTTTTATCCTATTTATCACAGTATTACTAATAATCTTTCCATCACATTCTACTTTTATCCATCATATCAACATTATTTTTGAAAAATAAGCACAAAAATATACATCCCTTGAGTTCTCTAAAAATTAAAACGAGAATAATTGTAAAGGACGGATGAAGTATTGAACTAAAGTACATGCATGACGAAATGAAGATACCTCAAGTATACCGCAGGGCGCAGGGAGTATATAATATTGAGAAAAACATAGTATATGAATGATCTTCATAGATTATGATTTCTATAGTCATATGTTATATATACACAAGGAGATTTATCTTAGCTTGGTGGATTGAAATTGGAGCTAGCAAAAAAACATGTACATATGGGAAATGATCCTAGTGAAAGGTAATATCGGCATTTGAATCGGTTTCCAACCGATTTAAAAAGATGAAAATGTCCGGTTTAAAAGACATTTTTTGTAGTAGTGATATATGAGAAATGATCCTAGTGAAAGGAATTAGCTAGTCAAGTACCACATATATTCGAAAGAAATTAATTAACTTTGGATTTGAACTTATTTTCGAATTGAAGCTAATAAGTTTATTAATTATGTCCAATAATACTCCCTCCGTCCCATGAAACATTTCCTGTTTCAAAAAAGACGCGCCCTTAAAATGAGTAATTTAAGTGTTATTTTCTAATTTTGCCCTTACTTTATAAAAGAGTATGATGAGATGTGTAGAATAGATTAGTCATAATTAGAAAATAACACCAAAATTACTCATTTTAAGGGCGCGCCTTTTTTGAAACGGTTAATGTTTCATGGGATGGAGGGAGTATATAACTGCAACTAATTGTTAATGCTACTTGTTGTGTTGTCAGCTTTATTATATACTACCTCCTTCCCAGAGTATTTGTCCACTTTCATTTTTACACCATCCAATACACTTCTTTAATCCATTTTATCTTGTAATTTGTATATTAAAAAATTATAGAAATTATATATTAATAATCTATATGTTAAGACAAATCAAACAAGATCACACATGACTATATTTAGGCTTACACATTGAGAGAATTTGATGAGTCAAAGTGCTTAGATGAACAGTTCCAAAAGTCAAAACTGGACGAATACTCCGGGACGGAGGGAGTACTTAGTAAATTTTATAAATAATCCCTAGCTAATTACTTGTATTTTCTCATATTTAGTCTCAAATTGTAAAATATTACATAAATATTCCTTATTTTTTGAAAATTATTACATAATACTCCCTCCGTCCCCCAGTTTTTGTCCACTTTTGACTTTTGGAACTGTTCATCTAAGCACTTCGACTCATCAAATTCTCTCAATGTATAAGTCTAAATATAGTCATGTGTGATCTTGTTTGATTTGTCTTAACATATAGATTATTAATATATAATTTCTATAATTTTTTAATCTACAAATTACAAGATAAAATGGATTAAAGAAGTGCATTGGATGGTGTGTAAAAATGAAAGTGGACAAAAACTGGGGGACGGAGGGAGTAGTCTTTTATGCAAAATATGATATGATAAATATTTTTTCCACAATGAATCTTTCAAGAATCGATTATGAAATACTCCATAGTTTTTAAAAATTGAAGACCATAATAAAAATAATAATCATTAATAAAATACTCCATCCATCCCGAAATGGATACCGCTGCCACTATTGCGGTCTCTCGATAATTTTTGTTTGTCTATTTTCATTGATAATTTGATAAAATAAAATACTCTTGTCACCTTCTGTTTTATAGAATTTTATGTACTTTTAAATAATGTAATTTATACTTTTTATAGTATATAGTAATTTGTGATTAAAATGATTTTAAAATTGATAAATTTTATACGTTATTTGGAAAGTGGCATTCAATATAATTAAATTGCTTGTTTAACCAAAAAACAATATACTCCGTAATTGGAGTCCTTCATGAGGATCTTTGGCGCGGCTAAGGGACTAAAGTGCTCCCTGATTTAGAATTTGAATCATTCACTCTTTACTTTCAATATTTTTTAAAATTTCATGAATGTTGGACTAAATTTTCTGTACTTGTACAGTTGTACTTATGAGGGGTATTAAAATTAGTCCATATTTTTAAAATCCAATCAATTTAGCTCTTGTATTATTTCTTTTTTGTTTAATTAGGTCCTTGTCTTCACTTGACTCTTATGTATTACCCAAAAATTTTAACGATGACGTCAAATTTTACTATAGATGATATGTAACTGTTTTTTGACATGTTAATTCATACTTATTTTTTAAAAAAATAACTACAAAATATTAGTTTTTTTAATTCTATTTTATGAAAAAATTAGAGACAAAATTATCTATTATATAATGACTAAATTTAGATAAAATGTATGATTCATTATGTGAAACACTATTTTCATGTCATCTATAGTAAAATTTGACGTCGTTAAAAATTTGGAACACTATATAAGATTCAAGTGAAGACAAGAACATAATTGGACAAAATTAAATATCACAGTGACTAAATTGATTCAATTTTAAGTACATGGATTAATTTGAATATTTTTAGATAGTATAGGGACCTCTACGGTATTTTGTCATACTTTCATCTTTTAATTTCTTTCTCATTATCTTTTTTGGATCATCCACAAATTTATTTCCCATTTCTAATTTTGACAGAGAACTTTTAAAAAATTCGTCATTATACCCTCATATTTATCAACATTATTCAATTTATTACATCACATCAAAGTTAATGTTGGAAGTTATTATATTTTTTTTATTTTTTTCTTAGTGTTCGTGCCAAATTAAAATAGAAAAAAAGTGTTGAGCTAGCGAAGGGAGTACTCGACCGGTAGTATTCCCCAAAAACATACCCCAACTTATATAAGTGAAATTTGCAATAAATACGACTAAAACATAAGTCATTTCTCAATTTTGTTGGACTTAATTTTTTTTAAATAGTACTTAATAATGTCTTGTTGGAGAAATAATGTCTAGTGATGGTGAACATTTACTTGAATAATGACTAATTGATAATGACCAATAGCCCTACATTGGGAAATAAAAACATATGATCCTGTATTGAAAAAGTCATTATATTTTAGTTCTATTTAGGCAAATTCCTCTTATATAAAGACTTCTCTCTCTCAAAAAAACTTATTTAAAACCTTAATTAGGTATCTCTTATTAACACCAATGAGCTTAGATATATTATATTCCCTCCGTTTCTTAAAACCCTTCCTCTTTCATTTTTTGTTTTTCTTAAAACACTTCCCCTTTCTATTAAAAAACCACTTTTACCCTACTTTTTCATACCCTACCTATCACATCATACTTTTTCACTAACAACTAAACTATCACATCTTACTTTTACCCATCACATCAAGGACAAAATTGGAAAGTCAACTACAATTTAACACTTCCTTATTTTCCCCCAAAGTCAAAAGAAGAACTCTTTTGAGAAACGGAGGTAGTATATACCTTGCTTGTATTGCATTCCGTAGCATCATTTGGGGACATTGTACATGCATTATTATTTTAAATAATTTTTTTAAATATGCATGCAAATAAAAATCTTATTATGACAATATTAACGCTAAAATCTAGTGGAGAAGGCAATAATAATATAATATAGTTGTTTAAATTCTATATCCATTTGACCTATTAACATGGCAAACATGACGCCTTAGGTGAAACACAAAGTTACACCAAGAAAAAATCGTCTTTTGCGGAAGTTCACGAAAAAATTATAAGAAATTAAAAGAATGAATATATGTTGGGGGCTATATAAAGAATGAATATTAAAGAGAGTTAAAACTAAAATCAAAGAGTAAAATCAAGCAAATATAAACAAATAAGGAGAAAATTAAATAAAAAATGGCACAAAGTGACAGGAAGTTGGTGGCGGTGTTGGTTATTTGCATGGTGGTTGTGTGCGCCATCTCCGCCGTGCCGGCGGCGGAAGCCGATTCCGACTACAAACAGTGCTCCGAGTCCTGCCAAAACGACTGCAAGAAAGAAGGAAACGGCGACACCATGTGCGAGGTCAAATGCGACACCAAATGTGGCGCCATGGAGGTCAAAGGTGCGTTTGGGTGTTTACACTTTACAGTCGTCAAATTCATTCAAAATCTAGTAATATACTCCATATTTAATACTCCCTCCGTCCCGTAAAACATGGGAGTTTTGCTTTTTAAAAGGGATTTAAAGGAAGTGTATTTTGGTATTGAATTTCCAAAAATGTCCTTTGATGTGATGGGTAAAAGTATGATTTGATAGATAAATTATTAGTAAAAAGGTATGATGTGATAGTTAGAGTATGAAAAAGTTAGGGGTAAAAGTGACTTTTTAATAGAAATGAGAAGTGTTTTGTGGGACGGATAAAAAAAGAAAGGAGAAAGGTTTTATGGTACGGAGGGAGTAATTTTAATAAAAAATTATTGTGAAATGGAGATAATACTTCCCCCATTCAAAAAAGATGTTTTAATTTCAACTTTTAAAAAATTTAAAGGAGAGATATTTTTGTTTTGTCTTTTCATAAATACCTTTTATGTGACGAATAAAAATAGGACGTGATTTATGGATATTAGTAAAAAAGTATATGATGTGATAGCTAAGTTAAGAATTACTAAGTGTAAAATTTATTTTTTAATAGAAATGAGAAGGATTTGGCGGGACAAGTAATAAAGGAAAGGAAAACAAGATTTTGGGACAGTATATAATTTAATTCGAAAGGAGAAATTAACGGAGTATTTTTTTGAAGATAACTTTGTCTATAATAATGTGATCGAGAATTATATTAATGTACTTCATCTATCCAACCATAATGTTCTCGTTCACTATTCACACGGTCAAACTTTATTCACTTGTTGGTATATTTTTGTTGCCAAATTCGTAAAATAACATAGTCGTGTCAACTTTAATTTTGTAAATCTTTTCATTAGTTTTTAAATATGTAATATTTTTTTTAATTCCATACAACTTTTCATATGAAATGATTTGAGAATAACTTTAGTAAAAAAATGTAACGCCCAATGGAAACATTATGACAGAGTTGAGGGAGTATAAGTGAATTCGATTTAGTGGAATGAGAGAAGTTTCCAAATGGCGACTATATATATGTATATATAGGAGGTCACATGTTTAGTCTTTGTGACAATAATTCTACATACTTAATGAGTTGAGAAAGTATGAATTCAGAGTTATTAATTAATTATAATTAAGTTATCAGTGTTAAAAAAAATTAAAATAATTGAATGCCATTTAATTTAGTATGGAGAATAACTATTGAGTATATACTACATACTCGGATCCGTAATTGATTGCTTTAATTTAATTTGTTGGTGCAGACAAGTTCAACAATCTTTTTTGAGTAGCTTGATCGAGGAATTGAAGCCAAGGATGGAGCACAAGGGCCCACACATATTTTGATTTATCAAAAATAAATTTTAGAGGACTAATAAAGATAGAAATATAGCCATATATATGTAGATTAGGGATGGATATATGAATAATTGTACCTACTACTCCGATCCATACGTATGTCATTAATTATAATAATTATCATTGCAATTTAAATTATATCTCTCGATGTATATTTCAGATTTTCAGTTTACCATATATCCTCCTAGTCCTAGTCCAATATATAGTAATGAAGATTAATGTTGTCTTCGTTTTATTAATATACTCTCTCCCTCTCCAAAGTATCACTTCCGTTTTTTTCTCTAAACAAACTAGACAAAATTTCTCCATCAATTAAATCATTAATTAAATAAAAATTATATTATCAGATAATGTCATAATGATACAAGAATAATTTTATTATATTCATCTTGTAAAATGTTTAAAAAGTTTTTAATTTTAGGTCAAAGATCGATTCTACCAGTTCATAAAAAGTCAAAACTAGACAAATATTCTGAAACGGAAGCAGATATATATTAATACAATGAAACAAAGTTTTTAAATTTTTTTCATAAGATAAATTAAATCTAATGAAATTATTTTTTAATTCATTCTTATTTAATTTGTAAATCAAAATTTGATCCGTTTGACTCCAAAACTAAATTAGACAAACTGTCCAAGAGAGAAAGTGGTATATTGAGACATGGGAAAACAGTTATTTATGTCTTTACAATGTTTATTAAATAAAGTATGCTTCATTTTGTATACGAAATTCAAACTATAAAATTAGAATTGGAGACAACAATTTCATTTCTGCTGTTTGGTAGCACAAAATCATGTGAATTTGAAATTGATAGACATGATAATGCCAATAACGAATTGAAATTGAAGAATTCAATTTCATCTAAATTAATTTCATAGAATTTCAATTTTTTATTCTGTCAATTCCGTCTATCCAAACAGATGCTTAATGTATAGCAAATAACTCTAGTGCCTCGTGTGGTTTAGAACTGGGCAGTTATACTATATGTGAAATTTGCACTAAATAAGACTAAAACATACTAAGTGTTTTCTCAATGTAGGATTAAAACTTTTTTATTCCCTAAATTAAATTTAATAATGTCTAGTGATGGTGGACATTTACTTGAATAATGACTAATGAATAATGACTATAGGTCTTACATAGAGATATAAAAATATATGATCCTATATTAAGAAAGTCATTATATTTTAGTCCTATTTAAGAAAATTACTCATGCAATATTTTGATGGGGCACTATTTTGGAAAGTATACAAATCTTTGGAACTACTCTTCCAATTTCGAAGTACCGAATACTTGTTTATTTTTACTTTTTTTTCGCTAAAAGCACATCATTCGTTACTAACTCCAAGAGTTTAATATAAGCACTAATAATTACAAATTTAATCCGTTTTATTTTTTAAATTGAATAAATTATTAGTGTGACCCCAACCGCCCTAATTTTTGTTTTGAAAACCAACCACACTAATTTTTGTGAAAATGATTGTTGAAGTTTCGGGAGTATTCATGCACGAGAAGAATATAATACTCTCCTCGTCCTATAAAGATATGGACGATTTGACTAAAGTAGTAAAATAAGAGGGTAATTTTGTGTTGACTTTCTAAAAATACCTTTGATGTGATGGGTAAAAATAGGATGTGATGGGTAAAAGTAGGATGTGATGTATAGATTATTAGAAAAAAAGTATGATGTGATAAGTATGGTATAAAAAAATAAGGGGTAAAATTGATTTTTTAATAGAAAAGAGAATGACTTTTAGAGACACGATTTTTTGAAATGTGAAGGACTTTATAGGACGGAGGAAGTAATAAATGAAATTAGAGAAATTTATCTAAATAGGACTAAATGATAATTTATCCAATATAGAATCATATGTTTATACTCCGTATTTCTCAATGTAGGACCTTTGGTCATTATCAATTAGTCAGTAAATATCTACCATCTCTGGGCATTACTCCTCCCTTTAGATATTATTAAGTCATATTTAGAGAATAAAAAAGTTTAAGTTCTACTTTAAAAAATGACTTATGTTTTAGTCGGGTGCAAATTTCATACTCCGTATGAAATTATCCTCCATATGATGATTACAATAATAATCTGCATGGCGGGAATGTGCGTACATGTAACGCGGCGAGCATTCTCTGAATCATCAAACACGTATCCTTAAACCTTCGACACATGTCTCTCCCATGCATGCAATCCTATTCCAGCCCCTTCCAAACTCTCCCCTCTCTTTCTATATATATATATATATATATATATATATACCCCCACCCCACATACACTCACCCATATACACACATCTCTCATCCACAACAATCCTCATCACTATCACAAGTCATATAACAATGGGAAGAAAAACAGCCCCATCACTTGCTCTCACCATCGCCGTCTTTCTTGTTTCGGCCGCCGCGGCCACGGCGGCGGCCCGAGACCCCGAGCTAGAGATATGCCGCCACCAGTGCAAAATCCAGACCGCGTTCGACAAGGACCAGAGGGAATCGTGCTACACCAAGTGCGAGCTGTACAGCCGGGAGAAAGCTAGGCGGGAGGAGGAGGAGGAAGGCCGCCGGAGTTCCGAGGAACGGGAGGACGAAAGTCCCTTCGTCTTCCGGCCTCGTCACTTCCTCACCGCTCACTCCTCCGAACGCGGCCGCCTCTCTGTCCTTCAGAGGTTTTCCAAGCGCTCGTCGGATCTCTTCCAAGTCATTGAGCCTTTCCGGCTCGGTGTTTTGGAAGTGGAACCCAAAACTTTCGCCATTCCCAACCACCTCGATGCCGACTTGCTCTGTGTTGTTGCCAGTGGTAAGTAGCTAGATAGCTAGCTATATATACCTTCTTACTAAAATTTTTATGTTATTTTTCGTGTTAACCTAGTTCATTTATGTATATGTTTGATGTGTAGGGAAGGGAATTGTGAACATGATTCAGGAGAACAAGAGGGTGAACTTTAACATCACTGAGGGCGAGATGGTCGTGATCCCGGCCGGTGCCACTACGTACCTAATCAACCCCGAGGACGATCGGAAGCTCGTCGTGGTCAAGCTGATCCGAACCATTTCCGCGCAGCCGGGTCGCTTTGAGGTAATCATGCACGCATGCACTTACGTTATGAATCATGCTAGGAACTTACCATGATCGCCCACACTGATGAGAACACAAGATGATTTTATACATACAGAGACGATAATCATCTGTATTCACAGAACATCATCGTTTGTGTATGTATAAATCATCTCAGAGGCACCTATAGTGGGTTCTTAGCAATTTGCTTACGTTATTGCTACAATATGTGTTCATTCTTTCATACTTATTTGGTTGATGTTATAAATTGCAGTACTTCTTTGGATCAATGGTGATGAATGCCTTCAGCACGAGCATAAGGGAAGCCGCGTATAGTGACGCAGACCGGGAGACATTGGAAAGGGTCCTGAACAGGTCAGGGAGGAAACAGGACCCTTTCCTCGCGATATCTAACGAGCAGATCGAGTCTATAATCCGACGACAAGAAGACGAGGACGGTATCGGCTGGCCTTTCGTTGCCGATAAATCTTCCAAGAGAAGAAGAATTGTTGATATCTTGGAACACAAGAGCATCTCCAACAAATTTGGTGAACTCTATGAAGTTGGTAATGAGGAATTTGATGACATCCAAATTTCTTTTGCCAACATTACTAAAGTACGTTCTTTTCGTCTCAAAATATCTTCACTTTCTTTTTTTAGACGTCTCAAAACTAATTGAGGAATTTACTTAAATAACACTAAAACATAATGACTGTCCCTAAATAGCACCATATGCGTTTTTTTCTCGATGTGGCACTTTTAGTCATTATACATTAGTCATGATTCAAGTAAATATTCGCCATCACAGGATATTATTTATGGACAATATTAAGATATTATGGACAGTATTAAGTGCTATTTAATGAATAAAATAATTTAAATGCTATTTAGGGAAATGACTAGTTTTTTAATGTTATTTACTGCAAATATTTCAATTAAAAAATTCACACTTTTCACAATGTACCCAATTATTAGGGTGGAATGCTAGGCCCTCTCTTCAACACAAGAGGTACAAAGCTGATGTTTGTGGTGGAGGGAGAGGGGTGGATGGAGATGGCCACGGCGGCCGAACCAAGGCGGTCCCCACGCCGCGGCGGCTCGTCGGAGAGAGGCCCGAGCTTCGAGGGGGTACGAGCCCGTCTCTTCCCGGGGACGGTGGTGATAACCCCGGCAGGGCATCCATACGCTAACGTGGCGAGCAGAGGACGAAACCTGAAGCTCCTCTGCTTCCAGGTCAACGCCCGGAGCAACGAGAAGGTCGCCCTCGCCGGAAAGGACAACGTCTTCACCAGGCTGGACAGGGTGGCGGAGGAGATTGCATTCGGCGGCAGCCGGAAGGAGGTGGAGCAGGTCTTCGGAAGCAACAGCGAGTACCAGCTGTTCTTCAAGGGGCCGAGCAGGGAGCCGGAGGAAGACGGCGGTCACGCGGCGGCGTAGAGTGAAGTGGTTCTTCGTAGTGCATGCATGGGCCTGCATGCAGGTGTAATCGTGTTTGAATTTAAAAAAATGAAAGTGAAGAATAAGGTGAGTTTGTGTTTGTGTGAAGAGATGATGTAAATAAGTCGAAGGATGTTTTGTAATGATAATAATAATCCCCTGTGCTTTTCTTTTATGAATTTTGTTGGTGTGATTTGGTCCCAATTATATTCAAGCTTTTTGACCACCCCACTTTCATAAAAATCTTGTGAAATACACGACTAAAACATAAGTCATTTTCCAATGTAGAATAATGTCCAGTAATGATGGAAATTATTTGAATAATGGCAAATGAATAATGATCAATGCTCTTACATTGGAAATAAAATAGTTTTATACTAAAAAAATCATTATATTTTAATTTTATTTAGATAAATTTCTAAAAACCTTTCCACCGACCTTTTTTTGTGTCCCATAATATAATCTTATTCTCTTTCCTATTGAAAAATATTTTTATGAATTATTTAAGAAAATTAACAGAAAAGTATTTCTTTAAATTTGCTAAAATTCAAAAATAAGGAATTCATGGGACATAAGAAGTATGAAATATTTGCACTAAATAGCACTAAAACTAAAGTCATTTCCCTAAATAAC